GAAAGCTTTTGAGCTACGTTTTATAACTTCAAAACAAAGTAGTGAGAAAAATTTAAAGGTTACTTGTGAGTACTTAAAAAAAATAGATTACATTAACATTTATTGTAGAAATTAAAAAGTAAGAAAAAATACTGGCATATGACTGCAATCAAATGAACCAAAGCGTTACATCGAAGGTAAAATTCATGATCAACAATATAGATAATTTACGAAATCGTTACTGATAAGTTCGCCAGTTCAACGACCTTTATTCGTTATCGCTCACCTTCTATGTTGAGTGGTATTGAACTAATGATAATAATGATACATAGACCCCCACTACAGGTATTGCGGGTTGGGGAACAGTTGTAACAGCTGATACTGTAGTCGCTCTTGAGATACTAGGAGATGAACTATGACGTCATCGCTGGGAGGTCATTCAACTTGTACTTGATCCAAAATTGTATAAAGGTTCTTTTAGGATAATAATAATAATAATAATAATAAAATGCCTTTATTTAAGGATTAAAATATATATTTATTAAATCCTTGTTTATGACTCAACCATGCTTTCCGTTCCCTACTAATAGAAAATTACTACTAATACTAATGAAATCTTTTACTTTCACTTAGCAATCAAAAATACGTCTTATTAAAGAAGTAAACTATGTAATTAAAGTAGTCATGCATTTATGTTTTAATGAGTTGACAAAAATGAAAAATACAATTAGAAAATTTAATTCCTGACCATGAAGAATCTTTCAAATCTTTGATAACTCTTACCACCATCTAAAACGTGTTTTATGATTTTCAGATTACCGCCATTTTGGATTTTTTTAGGGAAGGGGTGAAAATTTCAAAATTGGACATTCCGTGAAACTCTAGAACTTTCTCTTTCCAACAGTATATTTTTCGATCAAATCGGATTCATAGATTAGTAGTTATGCTTTTTCAAATTTGGATGATTATTTGTCACCCTGTATTTAAACCAAAGTGCGTAACGTAAATAATTTGAATTCATATCAAATTCTTATTTTATTTCAAGCGTACTGTAAGAACTATTTTGATTCATGTTAATGAAAATATAATAATTTATGATCATTATAAAATAGTAACTGCTAAAAGATATAGAAAATGGATATATTTTTCACTATAAGACGATAGTTCATGTCACTTTGCGACATATTTTAGGCTATAAACATTCTAATCCACCAACTTTGTAAAGCCTTCTCGACGTGAAAAAACCAAATTCACAGAAGTAACAAATTCAATCATTGATAATTTGTTTTGAAGCCACTCACTCTAATTGAAGTTTGACATTACTTTCAGCATTTTCAATTATGTTGAGAGCTGACAATCCGCATACTGAATTAAATAAACAGAATTCACTGGTTAGTTAATTTTTAGAATTTGTTTTCAATTACAATTTAACACGTATCTGTTACTCAATTAAAAGGTTGTTACACACAGAAAACACATTAAAGCCATGTTATGGTTATATTTATTTGGAGGTGAAAATTCGTTGTGTGGTTTGAAACATCTCAAAACATTATTATTTATCTTTAGTTCGAATCAATATTGTTCCAAATTTCAAATCTATATTTTTAAATGTTGTTAGACATAACCTTTCCCAACATTTTAAATTACATTGCTAGCTGAAACGTGCATGCTGAATTCTATGGACAATATATTCTTCCTCTACTAATCATATCAGTTTGATTCAAACAAAATGTTTCGTTTTACAAATATTATTATAGTTGTCCTCGTTACATTTCTAGAAATAAGTAAAAACCAGCCACTAAAAATATTTGGAGAGTACTAAATATAGTCAGTTGAATCAAGCTATAATTTTGTAATCATTGTTGGAATATGTCCGCTAGAATTTTGGCTTAGTGCAATAAAAACACCAAAAAATAATTAGTTGAGTAAAAACTATTTGTTTTCTAATTTTTCAAATTTTTTTATCTTGAATGTTGCAACAAGATGGGTAAGTAGATCAGTGTAGTTTGCATAATCAGCTAGGGAGTCACAGTTTGCCTTGGCTACAAGTCACACACACGCTGAACTGCTCACCGAGGCGCTGAGTGAGCGAATTCCATGAAACTTGACACCAGCGTTGAGTAACCGATGTACTCTGACCAAGCTGTGTAAAGCTGGATTGAATTATTGTTGTTTAGAAGCTATGTTAGGGACGATTGTGAAGAACCCGTGTTAAAATAAACTTCCAGTTTGTTCATTGGATTGTTGGTTTTTGGAGCGAATTTACTATGGCAAATAAGCTATGGTGGGTGTTATCGCTAAAACCCGAATATGGGACCGATTTATACGTTCAAATTCATAGAAATATCTGTGTGTATGTACATTAGCACAATAACTCGAGTGAACTTGTGAGTGAGGTTTTGATGAAATTTGGTTAAAAAGTGGGGAATTTACAGTAATTTCATTGCGTGCCAGCACGATTGGACTAAGGAAACGGGGTTTTATATGATAAAAAATTAGTTTTGCACAATTTGGGCCAAACAAAATTTTGCCATATTTCAACAAACCGTTCTGTGGAGCTATAAAAAATAGTATGTTTAAAATGTATTTACGCGTTATAATAATGGAAGAAACTCCAAAAGAGAAAAATTTGAAAACTCCCATCTTTTTTCTTGTTGAGAATAATCAAACTGTTATGATTTGCTTGCTTATATGTATTTATAGTGAGGATATGTGGTAAATTTACCTATTTTCCCTATTAACATTTCACTAAGAAACAAACCTAACCCTGTAGCAACTAAGTACTCGTTTAATTGATATGATTTAAATAGGGGTGAATCTGGCATATTTAAATAATACAAATCAGCCAAATATAAATTCGCTTAGTCTGCAGGTTTGCTAAGGTGGGAGTATTTTTTGAGTGTAGTTACAATTAATTCTGTGGTATGGCTCTAGGATACCACTTATCAGAGAGCGTATTTACATTTGGCTACTGAGAGAGGAAGGAAAGACATTATTGGTTTGAGGAGTTTCAAAATCCAATGTTATTGTTAGCTGGGTTTGTTTGTACTGACCTAGTAAACAAATATTGTTACAGTATTTGTCTTTGGAATATCCACTGTACTGTGCCATAAAATATGTTTGTATTATTGTAACCAAACAACGATTTTAAAATTGGTACATTAATCAGGAAATGTATATTCTGAAATGTTAGGGAATATTACGTTAATACATGTTTAGGTTTTTTTTTTGTTTTTGATAAAAGTGATCATTACAAAATTTCTTTTAATTCAATTTCCGTTTTTATGTATTTTTATAGCCTCTAGTTTATTAAACATAATGCTGTAAATACAATAAGGTTGTCAATTAAATAGTGCTCGGTAACGTTTTTATATTCTTAACTTAACTCGAGGCTGGTTCGTCAGTCTCGAAAATCTGCGTATCTTTGTGTTTAAATATCACGTTTTTGTGTATTTTTTTTATTCAAATAAAGTGTTTTATTTGTACAATTGAAGGTATTTAGCTCAAAGTGGAAAAATTGGGAATTCCATGTACAGCATGAATTCTCAATTTTAGTGCCGAAAGTATTTGCTGTTTGCGCACTAAAGGATTAAACAATGTCACTCGTGGAGAACGAGCTTGTCTAGTGGTATAGCGCAGGACTTCGGTCCCTGAAGTCCCAAGTTCTAATCCCACCTAATCACCAATGGATTGCATCTCTGATAATGCTGCAACCCCAACGTAATGTGGAAAACGGGGTTGTGCATAGTGCCAGAAAAAACTACCACATGTACTTATACCAATAAATACCATTTTTAGTTTTCTAAACAAAAATTTGGAGACAAAAGTCATACCCACTTTAATATAAATGAATTTGCACAAGGAAGTAGTTATATTGAAACTAAGATAAATATAAGCTGTGATTTAAACAGGGTTACCCCAAGTCATATCTGGTAAATACCAGAATAAATAAATAAGTGGCACTAAATAAGTGGCACTGGGTCAATAGCCTCCACAACAAACTCTTCAGGTCGTCAACCTCGCTGTAGTGAGAGTGAGAGTGGCTACACCACGTGAGACCCCATTGACCGGCGCAGCCAAGGTGAGTCAACAGCTGTTTATAAGTGGAGGTGGGAATGGCGGGAACTCAGTGCCTCAACAGCTGTTATCTTGTGCTTACCGCAACGTAGATTGACGCTGTCAAACAGGTTAGTTAAGAGGTATTTTTTTTAGTTTTTTATAGTGTTGTAAATAATAGAATCACATTGATATGTGTATGCCAAAGGCAATATTTAAGTATGTGATTTCACATCCATTTTAAAATTTGTACCGACATTAAAACAAATTAGTCCTTGATCCTACAACTATTGTGTCTATATATGGCCAGATTATGTTTCTTTACACCTTTTTTTATTCGTTTGTTTAAGTTTAATTGTAAAGAGTAGGCGGGTCTTATAAAGTTTTAATTAGTTTATGTTTGTGTATACTAAGAAGAAACAGCACACTTGAAGGGTACTGTTCAATTTCTTTTTTATTAAAGTGATGCACCAGAAAGTAGTGATGCACAAAAAAAATTGCATTGCACATTAAAAAGGTACAAGGTACTTGCTTTAATGTAACTACCCAAGACTAATCACTAACTAATCAAGAATAAAAATCAAGTATAAAGTCAATAAAGAAGGATATATTTCCATAATTTAAGCTAATTAATTTTCAAATTGTAACCATTACAAATGATTTGCATAGCAAATTTTCATGCATTTTTAGTAAGTTTCAAGATGTGAGATCAGTTTTGCGGTTCAATTCGTTCGTAGCTAGTCTGTTTTACCCAGTGTAGCTCAAGCTTTCACTGATAAAAAATCTAACACAAATGCTTTCTGGATCTATTAAAATGGTCTGATTGTTGGATGCCTAGAAACTCAAACAAACTGTAATCAAAGATCAATAAAATATCAATACAATTGGTGAATCAACAAATTACCAAATTTTGAAAACCGCTTAGCGTTTATTTAAAGAGAAACATTTTATTCATCTTTACAGGCATGGCAAACGTCTCGATCACATTGTCAGACTCTGATGAAAAGTTCATCCTACACGCATTAGAAGTCATCCATCCCAATCTAAGATTAGAGTCCATCACGGGAACAGCAGCGGTAGAAGATGGCGCAAACATGATGGGGGTCGTTTCAAGAGTGAGGGTCCTAGGATGTGACCTTGACACTGGAATCAAGATGGATCTAAGTCTGATAATGAAGCGACTACCTGAGTCGATGGAAAGAAGAGAATTGTTCCTCTGCGATGCAGCGTTCCAAAATGAAGCGAATTTCTACAGAGAGGTGGTTCCTAGGTTAGGAGATCACACCGAGCTGCCGTTTCCAAGAAGTCTCCTGGCTGCTGATGACGTCATTGTTCTCCAGGATCTACGCCAAGAGGGGTTTACAATGGCTGACCGTAGAAGCGGCATGGACCTTGATCATTGTTTAATAGTTATGCAGGTGAGCTGTGTTCGAAATCTTGAAAATATGATAACCAGTAAGGTACCTGGTTACTGTCAAAACGATCCTTGGAAGTTAACATCATCAATAATCAGTTATCATTCATTGCGATGGGGACGCCACCTAAGTGCGTATTTTAACCCAAATATGAGTAAGGGATGAGTGTGCATGGTGTGAGATGATCTGTGTGGCTTTGTTACAAACTAAGATAATTTATGTTATAGCCTTTAGGACCATTTTTTTGAACACCAATCATCAGGGACAGCTGGTTCAAGTTTCAAACCATCAAAAAGCTACTGACTCTTTCAGGATCGAACCGGTGATCTTTTGATTGTTAGCGCTCCTCAGCCAGTCGGTATAATATTTTATTCTTTAAATTCTTCACAGTTTGTTTGGCATCAAAAATTAACAACTATTAGGAAAACAAATTAACTAATATTTAAGCTTTTATTATATTTTCTACCACTTTTATACAATCAAATAGCGTAATAGGCCTATAACGTTTCTTTTAAATAGGAATTTCTGCGTGTATGAAAATAAACCATATTGATGAACACAATACGGCGTGCATTCCGTAGTTACATTAAAACAATTAACATCAAAACAGGTATGTTCTGACAAAAGAGTGACTGACCGCAAACATAGCAAGGAACGGACTCTATATATTTGTTGGTATACTTTTAGGTATTTATTGTGAATTTTCAAATTTTAATCACAGTTAATAAGCTAAAAAACTAAAGGATATAGTTCTACAAAATTTTGTTTTTAGGAGATTTAAGTACTTAACAGTAGTTATTGAAAGCTGTCCTAATGAAAGATTTAAAGATGACAAAATGAATGAATGAATATTTTGTACTTGGCTGCAATGGTATTTTTGTGGTGAAATAATCAGTTATTTATTTCATACTTCCATCCCTTTAGACGATCACTTACATAAATTAACTATTAGTAAATTACTAACTAAAACTAATAGTAAACTACTAGAAGACGGACTGACCAAAAATGTATTTCCAGGAACTCGGAAGATATCACGCAGTGTCCTACGCGATGAAGCACCTACGACCCGATGAGTTCCAAAAGGTGAGCTCTTCCCTCAAGGAGGTATTCATCCACAAAGGAAACACTTTACTGATAGGATGTATAGACCATTGCGTTGGCATGGCTCTGAAAGCTGCCAAAGATCAGGATGCTACAGTTATTGAACGACTAAATAGCTATATTGGGAAAGGAATAGATTCATTAACACCTCACGTAATTCCTAAGGAACCACTTGCTGTGATCTGCCACGGAGACTTCCACAGCAACAACATTCTCTTTCGATATACTGAAAACAACAACAAACCTATTCAAGCTGCCTTTGTCGATTTGCAAGGCTGTAGATATGCGTCTCCAGCTATTGATATTCTATACTTCATTTTCTCCAGTAGCTCTTCTGGCGTGTTGAAGAATCATTTTGTTTCATTGGTGTCTACATACCAAAATTCCCTGGAGAGCCATCTAGGAAGCATTGCTCCTTCCGCTAAAGTTCCATCGTTCGATGAGGTTATGTTTGAGGTTAAGAAGAGATTGGACTATGGATTGGTCATGTCTCTCCTGATGCTTCCGATGGTGTCAGCTGATAAAGTTACTTTCGACCTTGACAAAGTCAGCGAAGAGACGATGTCAGAAGTTCAGCAAAATGTGGAGAAGAACATGGTCAACGAAGAGTACCATCGTCGGGTCAATGATCTTCTGCAGCTCATTGCTAAAGAGAAGCTGTTGGTTTGCTAGATGAGTCAGTGCTTTTGTTTGGTTTAGATTACCTATACTCTGTATGACGGAACCTGTCTTCTGAGTCTCCGTCTACTAGGCCTGGCCTGATAACCATTAGCTAGTCCTCAGGTTAATGTAGAGCCAGGAGACAGGTTCTACCATATAGAGGTTCCTATACTCTGTAAGATAGAGTCTATCTTCTGATTCTTGGGACTGACCTAAGGTTTGAAGCCCAGGTCAGTCCCAGGTATACGGAGAGACAGGAGACAGGTTACACAATACAGACTATAATAGATAAAATGAGTATTATCAAAAATAAATTGTATTACAGTATTATGTAAGGTAGTTGTGTATATGAGAAGTACAAAATACCTTTCAGTATTGAACGTATTTTTGTGAAATCAGATTGAATTTTTCTAGTTTAATACAAAGCTTTAAGGTTAGTATGTCAGTATTTTGTCCGTTGCCATATTTCTGAGATAATATCAAAACTAACTGATGAAAAAAACGTGCTAAATAACTGAATTAGAAAGTTTCAATTTACTTTTCTCGTTTCGATACAAAAATATATAATATACTTTACAATGATGCAATAAAAGTTTGTTAGGTGATAGTGCAAGTTACAGTCTGTGACATTATGGCAATATGTCAATTTTGTTACTGTGTACATGTAACTGTAGTGATGTAAATATTAAGTCTTTTATATGATGTTTGAAAAATCGTTGAGTTTTTCCAAAATGAATGTTATATAAATAATGTATTAAGAATAAATAAATTCAAGATACCTTATTTAAGATCAAAATATTGTATAGTTTATTGTACACATGCTGATAAGTTCCTAGTGAGTATTTTATTGCATTGTTTTGCGTTACTGTAGTGATCTAACAAATCAAATTAGTTTTTTTAAGTAGTCTTAGGTGTTAAAATGATTGGCTGAATGTATCCTTAACATTAAATAGGAAAATGTAATATTCATGCAATTTCGGTAGGTACTCAAAAAGGTTGTTACTATCTTTGTTTTTTACCTATTATGTTATACGAGTATATTTACCAAGTATTTTAAGGACACATAATCAAAATTAAAATAAATGACTACTGTTAAGAGAACTTTAAAAATAAATAATATGCAATCTTTCAAAAAAAACATCGACTTGTATTCAGCATCCTTCATCTGACCAATAATATTATAAAAATTGTATAGTAATAATGTATGTTCAGCGTAACCAATAAACATACACACACTAATAACACACACATATATTTTTTATGGATGTAAAAGTTCTCTGTTGTGAGACATTTTTATAAGAAAATACACAGGAAACATGTGAATTCGGTAAATAAAGGATGATCTCTACTATGTGTTTTGCTACCACAGTATTTACCAGTGCTTTCCAATATTTTCCTGGCATTTTTTATTGACAATACATATAGTATAGTTTTGAACGCCTGATACACTGTTATATAGCCAACTTAATATTGAACTTCACATTACCTGATAATTAAAATCATTATACACAAATTAACAACAAAAAACAACAAGGTGATCAACATTAAAAAATAAGTTTTTTCTACCTTTATTACTAAAATGAAAATCTACTGAAAAACTATGGTAATTGGATTACTAAATTTACGGAACTAACAAAAAGTAAATAAAAACGTTGTTGCATTAAGAAATATTGCTATTAAATTATAACATTTGTAACGACTAAGATTTGGCTGAATTTATTAAATAATTTGTTTTTAATTTAAAGAAATATTAGGAAAAAGTAAAAGGTTATGAAATCTTATAGTAGTTTACGCATCGATCGCGTATAGTGTTAACGATACGAGTAAAAATTTAGTACGAGCTTTGGTGAGTGTCGTTAAGACTATTTACGCGAGTTGCGTACACTACTTTACCTATGACTGTTTTTGTAATAATAACAATTACACTACTCATAACGTCTAAGAGAGGTTATGTTTTGGTTTATAACCTCTCATTGCCACTGACAGTGATGCAACGAAACATTGTACCTACCTCTAATTGCACCGATCATTAAAGATTAAAATGGTAAACAGCTGATTAATTGAAGTTTGAAGCATTACAGTTTTACTTATTTTCTCTCAATCCTTGAACCTCTTTGGTCCGCTACTATTGACAACAATGTAAGTAAAACAATGGTATTAAATTAGTAATTAATTTTGTTACGTGAGTATTTTCAATACTAAGAACTGATTTGACACGACTAGTTAAAAAAATGATTAAATAACAATCATTATTTTTTATTATTTTATTACAGTTCGTAGTGTCAACTTAATTTTCAAGGACTATAATAAAACAGTTAAAAAAAAAAATTTCCTACAACAAAAGTAAACTTTTTAATTACATATAGGTATAGTAGTTGTAGCATAGCATTATAAACGAAAAGCACAGATAATAATTTATTGCAATTGTATGAAATATAATTGATTACTAGAAATTCCTTTAGTCAATAGTGGTATGTTAGTTCCCCGTTTCTCACCCAGGTGGTGTTATCAGCGTTGTGTTATATGTACCGTAGGTGAACCGGACAAACAAGTCGGCCGAAAGCGAAAGTTCAGTCTGACACAGCAGCAATAAGTAGGTGTGATGATTGTTAAACAACATGCGGTAAAACATGGCTCGGTGGTCTAGGGGTATGATTCTCGCTTAGGGTGCGAGAGGTCCCGGGTTCAAATCCCGGCCGAGCCCGATAATTTTATAATATGTGAACATTTGTTGTTTTTTACCCGCTGACGTTATTGAATTTATTTTGATAAAGGGCTATTTCGATTCATAAGTTCATATATTTGTGAGAAATGGCTTAAAAGACTAAATTGGAAATAGTACAATTAAAAAACAATTATTAACTTTTTACACAATTGTAATCGTAATGCGACAAGCTGGGAGAGGTACCTAATAAACATTTAACTCAATGTATTATGTTTACCAATTAACTAATGTAAATACTATATTTGTTAAGTTACAAATATCCATATGAGATATAATGCTCTAATTTACATACTAGTATACAGTTTACCAATTTTGATGAATCCCCATTTTTAAATGTTACTGTTTAAGTTTAAAACTTAGCAGTTCAATTGCAGGCGATACTATTGAGCCACTCAATAAACAGATTTAAAAACTACAATATTGTAAATGCTTGGATCGATTTATACTTTTATAGATTGTCCATTCAATATTACATTTTTCGGTAGACAATATTCACAACAAACAATTACCAATGACCATAGTAAAACTTATCAAACACGTAGTATTTGAAAGATTATTGCGGATGATTTCTATCATAATTAATTAGCAAGAAAGGCAATTTTAGCTGATTGATTAACATGTTTTCGGTACTTTTTTTGCATAATCCAGATCCTGAAATGTCGAAAACACTTTTTTCACTAATCGTGATGATAAATGTCCACTACAATCCCTAAAATATCATACCCACCATCACCAAAATTGAACTTTAAACAAATGAAGACTTAGTAACTAATTATATAGTACTTTAGACCACAACATTATTTATACTACCCCTATATCATATTCTCACACATTTTGTTAGAAGTACTTTATGCATACTCTTCTGCCTGCCATTTAAAGATAAAAACCATATGTTTTATTGATTGTTATGATCATTTATATTACTTGTTTACATAACATGGTTTTCAACCATGTTAATAAACCATCTATTGTATTTCATCGCTTTTATTTAGTAAAATATTATCAATCTTACACTATTACTAACACATTCAAATCCCCAATAATAGTATTTGCTGGATAACCAGTTAACTAGACCTTACAAATAGTAGTAGCTTAGGTAGCACTCACATCCATTAATGGAGATCACTATAGATAGACATCTGACATTTAGCCATTGTATGGACAGAATGAAAACGATTTTTGGCAATAATAAAACAAAAATAATAAAGCTGTGATAAAATATGTAGTAGCTTATTATTGCTGGTCATTTAAATAAGTTTTTAATACCTTTCATATAACTATTGGCATTTACTATACACAGAGTAGACTTTCAATCGTATTTAAAAATTTGAGGCCAAAAACGTGGTACAATGTGTTGAGATGTTCTACAAACTAATGACAATATTCTGTGTCAAGTGATAAATCAATCAGCTGTTAGCACAGATTTGTATTAATATTTAACACAATACACGAGTAGGCCTACTCTCTGGTGAGATGATCCTGAACTTCAATTATTTCCTTAGCTTCAAATTTGTACATTGGATGGAAAGTCTACTCTGACACAGTCATGTCAATGCCATTGGACACTTAACAATAGCATGTTAATATACTTATGACTTGTTTGTCCTACACTATGATATTATTCAAGTGCACTTGATTAAACTAAAATACAAATACCTAGGATGAGCGTTGTCTTTGACGTTGTGCTGCTTATCAAAGGCAGATGGATGTTCGAATCAGCGAACACATCGCATTTGATTATGTCCTCGCTGGTTCGAATAAACATGGCAACTCGTTGACTGTAGATTTCTGGCAACAAAACAGTCCTTCACCGATAAAAAAAAATCCTCAGCAAAAGTCACAAAATAACTATTGGAGTACCTAACTAAAAGCTCACTACGCAGTTCACAGATGAATTTTGCGATTGATTACCAAACATTATTAATTAAGAGATAAGAATACAGTAAACACAAATAAAGACCTAAAATAACAACACCAATTCTGTTTAACATGTAATAGTTATGCTAGGTACTAGTAGAGGTTGTATTGTAGCATGAATAACAAACATCAAATAGCAAACTCAATCTATTCAGTTCCTAAGGGACAATAACACCTAAGTATACCAAGAACTGTGTACTCAAGTCTAGTGATAAGCTTGTCCTTACAACGACCGTTTGTTGTATCCTAGCTCCTAGCCAGCAGTGTGCTCCCTGGGATTGCTTTTTGAGTTGTCCTTCTGTCACTAAAGTGATTGAATATTTCTGTGCGTGAGTGTGCGAATTTTTTTTCGGAGTGAGCTTACTGTTAGTTATTAAATTATGGTAAACTGGTAAAACGCAATGGTAAAAAGTTGTGGTTTTTTGCGTGTATTTTTTATTTAACAACTGTTTAATAATTGCCGGACTTTTCAATTTACATCATATCTACCAAATCAACTTTATAATGAACGTTTACTAATAGGTATATCTGGAGTTATGTTTTTGAGTTGGATCAATAATAATATAGATTTGTTAATGCATTTTTGGTAGCGTATTAGCTAAAGTAATTAATATTAAATTTAAATACCCTAAATACGATTTAAAATTATAGGCATAGATTCAGTTTCATTATTGATTTGATTACAATTTCAAACTCATGCTGCATATGGTGGGTTTTACATGTTAGTAAAATAATATGTTGATAATTAAAACAGACTATATTTTATAGCATAAATACTGTATACTTTTTTAATTACACGTAAAATTAGATTTAACAAAAGGAAATATATGATAATGAAGAAAAAGCTAATTGAATATGAAAGACATCTTTGAATATTGTTTTTTTTTTCCATTTGAAGTTACAAAAAGGATCGTTTTGTTTATTTAATGCATTCATTGTGATCAATAGGTATTCTTCATCTTTTAACTAATAATAAATATTTATATTAGTATTTATTTTCACAAAATAATGTAGTTATAGACAAACTATTGTCTAATAAGCAATCATATCACGAACACTATATTTCGGTTAGCAATGTCACACACTATCAAAATTGATAAGATTAGAATATCAGACCCTGTGAAATCACTAACATAATTTTGAAATAGGAGTAGTACCCAACAATGATTTTGTGTGAAGTTTTTTGATTATAAATACTCAACATAAAATATTTTCACAAGGTAACCTGCGTTAATTAATTAAGGGAATTTAGCTTTTTGAGTTGTTAACAAAGTGAAATTTCGGAGAAATGTTGGTGCAAAACCCCCGCTTCAACTGAAACCCCTAAAGTGTTGTGTTGTTTAAATAACCAACGAAAATATTTCTAGCATATATGAGTGGAAGTTATTTATTCAAACCCTATACAATTATTATTTTTACAACACGTTTATCTATAAAAATTTTTTATCAACAAAAAATTAAACGACAAATTAAACATCACCCAGTAGTATTTATAATTAAGTAACTCAGTAATACACATTATTTTTTATTGTTTATACTTTATAAGCTTCACCAACATTGCTTATTAATTGTAAGAATTTCCATAAACACCTTCTCTATTATAAAAAGTTAATATATCTCGTAATCAATAATTGCATTTGAAAATTTCGTAGTTTTTAAAAAATAAATTAGGTGTAGGACTTAAAATATTTTTAGCCATTGAATTACCTAAATTATTTTTGCTCTCGAGACTTAACATTATTGGGCAAAAATGTGTATGCAATGAAGATTGTAAAACTTTGTTTTCAGATTTTTGGGACAAAAAAAACTTTTAACTGCCACTTTCAAGACAACAGTCTAGGTTGAACGGCCTGTTTTTAGGTTATTCGGTCGTCGTGTCAATAACAGAGGCCTCCCTTGCACGTGTGCCGAGTCTGTAGTTAACAAATATTTCTAAAAAATATATATATTTTCGATGGAGGATTGGAACAGACAATGAGAACTGATCATTAATATTGTTTTAAATGTAATAGGCACTGCAATTGACAACATACTATTCAATAATTGGAGAACCTTACGCCAAACTATATCAATTTATTATAAATGAAACAAAAAATAATTTTGAAAATTAAGGAAAAAAATCAAATCAAAACTATAACAAATAAATGAAATAAATAAATTAAATAAATTAATGAAATTAAATAAATTAAATATATAAAATAAATAATATAGATCAAATAAATAAAACAAATAAAAAATAAAATAAATAAAATAACAAAATAAAATACAAACAATTAATAAAATAAATTACGTCTTTATATGGCCAGCATAAATCTAATACAAGGTTCTGTTTTACAATATGGAGACTTTTGTCATATACAGGGTGTCCCGTAAGTAAACAGCCAAACTCCACGATATGTTTCTATGTGTCAAAATATAGAGAAAATCAAGAATAACATTTTTTCCAAAATCGCTTCGTTAGCCAGATATCCGCCATTTTGTATTTTTTACATAAACATTTTTATTTTGGAATTTTTCAACCGATCTTCATAACACTTGGTTTGTAGGTTAAGGTAGAAAAGACCAATGTTGGAAAAAATTCATCTTGATTCAACATAAAATTTCAAAATGGCGGCCGTTTTAATTTTTTAAACTTAAATTACTCATAAACGGCTAATGTTATGAAAAAATGTCAAGAACACTTTTATTTAGCATTTTTAAATCCCTATCAAACGATACCAAGTTCAAAAAGATCGAATAAGAAATAGCTGAAATATTATGATTTTTAGTTGTAAAATGGGACAAACCTGACTAGCTTCTGCCTTATTCTACCCCATTTTACAACTAAAATCGTAACATTTCAGCTATTTCTTATTCGATCTTTTTGAAATTGGTATTATTATTGAGTTCCTTTGAATAATTTAGGCACGTCACACACTGGGTCCGCTCAGTTCAGTCCGCTCAGCTCAGTCCGTTCCGCAAATTTCAAAAATCATGTATTCAAATGTAGAGCCGCACTCTGGGTCCGCTCAGTTCAGTCCGTTCAGTCCGCTCCGTCCGTCTCAGCCAGTTTTCGGTTGGCGAGCGATTTGGGCGGAAGCGACGGAAGGAACGGAGGTGCCGTGCATGCGCAGTGCAGAGTAAACAGCAGTCAGTGTTGTGCTGCTGAATTAAGGGGTTTGACACATGTTCGTAGTAGGCCTACTGTGTGATATTTATTAAATAAGAATTTCGATGAACGACTGATCTCATAGTAGAGACGTATCCATTGTTGTACGACCTGTCACGCAAGGATTACTACATTACAATAAAGGAGGCCGCGTGGGAGGACATAATATCATTGATACATAGAAAATATATTGATACTGTTAACCCATAATCGTCTCTTTTCCTGACAACTTTATCATCTTTTTCTGCAGCTAGGGCCAATGCTATTACAGCTATTCCTTAATCACTACTGGGGGAACTCATAACAAATAGGAAATCTCGACACAAATAATTTACTTGTGAACAATGTAAGTGTATGTCGTCCACTAGCGATTGGTGCTCAAAAACGACTGAACTGAGCGGACCGAACTGACGCAGTGTGTGGGAAAACTGCCGGAACTGAGCTGACTGACCTGAGCTGAGCTGAGCGGACTGAACTGAGCGGACCCAGTGTGATGTCCTCAGTTCTGACCCGCCAACTGCTGCAGCAGTCCTTCCTGTCGAGTACTGCACTCACAACCTCAGATCTTTGAACCAATTTGGTATTCAGATAATTGATGTTTGAAGGTCAGAGATTTTCCTTATGGACAGCGTGTACGCGTTCAATCTGAATTCACTTAGTCTAATTTGTTAAAATTATGAACAAACCTTAGAGTGTTAGGCCTATTCTGAAGCCTTTTCAGTAATTTGATCAAGTTTCGTTTAGCATCGTTATCATTTTTTGTTTTGCTAATATACTTAGAATATTTTCAAATATTTACTCAATTTATATGGGTATAGTGTTCAATCAATTATTTTACTTATTTACTTGTAAAAAAGCTAATTGCAGCTTTAATGAGTATAAAAATAACTCAAACATAAACATTTAATAATTATAAATATTAATTGTCAATTTATACCAGTTAACCAACATCAATGTATAACCCAAACTATGGGTAATGCGACAAAGAAAATGACTCTTTAGTTTGTAAACAAATAACCAGAGTGAAACGTCAGTTTGATCAGATAGTGTTCTACACCAGGGGAACATTTCCCATTACTACTGAGCTTGTTTGCCCTAGATTTTAGCGGTTAGAAACATTTGTAGTAGACATGAGATTGCTAGAACAGTTCCCACCAAAACCAATCCTAGAGTGTGTTTGACTTCAGGTTGTATTATTGAAACAAATTGAAAGTTTATCAGTTTCATGACCATTCGAACTTTTCAACAAATCCATTTATGACTTTTCATATCAAATATTTAAAACTGTATTGATTTAACGGGAATATGCAATTGTTTTTTTTTGTCTCATCCCACAGATATTTATCAGAAACAGTATGGATCATAAACATAAATAAATGGAGTAACAGGCCCCAAACTTATACTAATAACAACAAGGTTTGACGTTTTTGGGAAGTTTAGTTAAAATGATAGTACATGTTCAATTTAGAGCCGGTGACGTAAATTAGATTATGTTTATGATAAACTATACCGTTTCTGTTCTCATATTCGTGGACCGTCTTAAATAATTAGAAAGGATAAGATGTATTTATTTAGAAAATGTTAACTAATTTAGTTATTGTATCTTAGAACTAAATCAAAAATATTATCTGATATAAATTAAGTTAATTCATACCATGTTTATGTTTATCAATAAGTTTCTTCGGCTGAAAACAAACTAATTGTTAGCAGTATGTTACGTTAACATAAAAACGAGTAGAAAAAGCGAAAAACGAAGTTCATAATAAACATTGTGATTTATGTGAGGTATTAGGAAATTAAATACCATTTTACAAATTATATTTCACCAAAATATATGTATATATTATAATATATAGAGAATATCTTCAATACATATAAGGTAAATTTTAAAAGATAGCGTTATAGGAATCTGGGGACCTCAAAACGAACAAGTAAAACGGTCCCGGGTCCAGGTCTTCCTATGAGACCTGCGTTAATAGCGTATTCCCTATATGGGAAACTTACTAAACGATCTAAATAAAACAATTTATTTATATTTGTCTAGAAATATATTAAGCCAAATCTATCCTTGAGACCAAAACATATTACGTTACATAATTTTTCATCCACTTCAGCCCATCAGTATTCACCGTATGACACCTTAAGGTTACCTCAACCATTTATCGGTCACTTTAAGTGCCAACAGTATGAAGCACTTATCAGTCCCAAGGCCACTTCGTGATCTTGACCGACTTATCAGTCAAAGCTATATTTGCAGCTGCTAACAGCTGGGCGAAGGCCGTGCTTTTGCCAGTCGTTCAACTCTTCTCCCAGTGGAATAGGCCAACCTTGTCTGGTCTTTGACTCGTCGATTGCGAATGATTTGATGGTCTGGAGTCGATATTGGGCTGATGATTCACACTTTGTAGCCAGGAAATAATTTGGTTAATAATATTACATTTTATACATGTAATATATTAGTAATTTTATCACGTGTATCCAACTCGATGTATTTGTATTTGAACTAAATAGAAATCCTTAGGCTCTATACTAAGAGAATAGGAAGAAAAACAGCTGTGTGCCATGTAATGTCTTTGACTGGAAGTCAAGTTGTTTGTAAGGTTTGTAAAAATGTACATAGGAAGAATCATAGCTAAATCTACTAATGGGGCTCTAAATATTATTCTTGTTTGATTTGTATTATTTTTTTATGTTGCTAAAGGTATAGTGGATGGTAAAATGTTAAGCTAAATTATAGCATAATGATCAAAAAAAACTGGGGTTGCAACTATCTCACGTCTAAGAGTGTTAAAGCTAAATATACTGGATCAAATAAATCCAGATTTTTTTATAAAACTACTTCTTTCTTAAGAGGAAGAAAAAACTCTTTTTTTGCCTTGCGAAAACTAAAACTGGGATAAAAAAGTGTTCAAATTACAGAACTAAATCCTTTCTTCTCAACACCTCTAATTGAAATCAAAGAGGAAATGTGACCACGAATTTACTGGTAAAGTAAAACCTCATTTTTAATACACAAGAGTCTACTGTCATTAAAATTGTTAATTTTTACAAGTGACACAGAGAAATTCTGATCGATTCGTGAAGGAGAAAGCTTTATCAGTCTCGCTGTTTGCTCCAGATACGACAGTTATTCATATAAGGTGTAAACTTTCACTTCACACATGGCTCGGTGGTCTAGGGGTATGATTCTCGCTTAGGGTGCGAGAGGTCCCGGGTTCAAATCCCGGCCGAGCCCGGATATTTTATATTTTATTTCTTTCGCAGTACTATGAAGATAGTTGAAGTTGGATCATGGCGTCATTACAAGTTGTTCTGAAAAGCACCATGTACTGAGAAACGCTTGATCAATAAAGGCATTTTATTTATTTATTACATGTTCATTTTATATCAGCTTTAGTGAACTTTTTAAATAGTGCAATGTATTATGGATCTCTTGCAATGTACTAATGTGAAAATTCTTAATTCTTACGTTTTTCATACCACAATGAAACATAAAGCTAGATTTATGGTACTCCCTTATAATTTTTCGATTGGTTACACGAGGACAAAAGGTGCACTGTATACCTTTATATAGTATAAGAACCGTTTTGTCGGTATTATAATTCAGCCCAGGGGCCGCGAAACGTAGTTTTTGGGGGCAACTTAGAATTTTTAACGTAAATCCACTTCGAGTGACATCTCATTCGAAAGTCCATTTCAAGAGAAAATATAGGTGAAAAATAGAAGTTTATAACCAAACTAAGTACAACAAAGTGTTATTTGGAAATCGAATGTATATTTATATAGGACTGACGATTTTTTTTACAACCTAGATGTCCCTGTCTCAACCCAGTACAAAATAGGCACTGTTTTACAATTTCAATCCGTCTCCAAATTACCTCATTTTAAGGTATCGGGGAAAATATATTTATTCTGATCAAAAAGTGCACTCTTAGACCATATTTAGGTGTGCAGAATTTAGTCTTCCCGTTGTAACCAGCTGAAAGGTAAAGAGCGGTGGAGGAATTAAGAGGAACCACACTTTTGACCAACCCTGTAGAATATTTTACAGTTGAAAATAAGACACTCTTTTCTTTTCGCAGGGCTGAAATTCAGGTGATCCAGCTCAAACTTTGTTTTTTCTTAGCTTTATATAAACAATAACAACAATAAAACATAGTACTACCTACTTCCAGGTACTGTGTTTAAATTAAAAGTTTCAACTAAATTTGTGTGAGCTAAGTAACTCATCAGGTAAGCTGGTATATTGCAACATGATACTTGATCATGGATAAATAGCCTGGAGATGTTTCTGTGTTATCAAACATTTGTTTCTCTTCTGTTACACTAATATGTTAGAGGTTAAATATAACATCTAGATTCAGCTTGTGTAGTCACTAAGACTAAACCCTAGCTACTCTGTATTGAGCTTATTTAAAATGAAACACTAACGAATACATTAAATGTTATATTTACGATTCCATATACAAGGATATACCATCCGTAGTCGTAAAATGAAATGGGAATTCATTATTCTCATTGCAGAAACATAATTCCTTAATTTTACCAACATATGCCTGGAATTTCATTGATTTAAAAAAAAAGAATGGAGAAAATATTATTAGAAAAAATAATATTAAATGTTTTTTTAGCACGTAGTGTTAGTAACACAAACCATTCGTAAAAGTATTGGTTCAAATTAATTATATTTTCTGCTATAAGTATTGTTTGTAAAATATCAAATTATGTTCAAAATAATATTTTGATTAAATGGTTTAGGAAAAGAAATATCAAAATCCACACTGTTCTTTTAGGACTTATCATTATTGAGTATCTGTTGTTAAAATTATAATTTGTAAATAATGTTATATACTCTTTTACTTGTTATAATTAAAAGGTCAACTCCTCCAGTAAATGGCAAATGAAAACTCAGAAACTGGTATGTAAATGCTTTATTGTTTTATTGTCAACATAATATAAACATTAATTTTGTATGCACAATTCCTTATAACTCTAGAGAGCTAAATAACAAAATGCTTAGTTTTACGCTAAAAAATACAAGGAACAATGGATGTGATGCCAATCTTCTAAAATGTTATAAATCACATTTAACTGTACAATGTTATACATTTTATCACTTAAGGTACTTAAATTTCTAAATCACAATCATTTAAAAGGTAGTTATTTAAGTTGTTAAGATTGTTTATATATACAAACGTAAGGTACATTGACTCTTAAGGTACAAGTGACGTAATAACACGAGTAATAACAATACTAATATAACTAAAGGCTTATACTTTCTAAGGTACGTTCAATCTTATTTTTACTGGTAATGACATTAAGGTTTTCACTAAAATACAACCTTATAAGGTAGAAAATGCAGACAAAGCTAGGGAATAAAAAAACAATAAACCTTAAAAAGTGACCTAATAAAGGCCCTGATACTTATTATTATCATTATAATCATCTCTTAAACAAATTAAGGCTAGTATATATACAGTATACACAAAAGGAATATTTTAATGTATACGAGTTAGTTTCTTTACTTCTTCAAAAATATAAGGTACATTGACTCTTTAGGTACAAGTGACATAATACTACTAGTAATAGGAAATACTATTATTCATAACAATGTAAAGGTAGAATCTAAAGTACATCTTGAGTACGTCTTTGATTTAAATAAGTTTCTCCGCAGTCACCAAAGCAAAGATTTCGTTGACCCTCTTCCTATAGCTAGCATTCAGAAAACCTTCCTCAAGTTTATCTTGGAACTCAAGGATGTTGTCCTGGTTGACGTCATCAAGATTGACTGCCATACCGTCGCCAGCTGTGATGACCGGAAGGACCATGAGAGACATGATCAAACCAAACACAACATGCTTCCTCACCTCAATCATGATGTCTTCCAGAGTCACGTGTCCTAGGCAGCGGTGATAGGCGGAAATGAGGCGCCGGAAGTGGCACGAAGGGGCGCCACTGGTGAACAGGAAGTAGAGGATGTCGAGAGCCGGGGATGCGTACCTCCAGCCCTGCAGGTCCAGGAAGCAGACGTCCACAGGACAAGAGAACCCCTCGAGGTAGCGGAAGAGGAGGTTGTTGCTCCAAAGATCTCCATGACAGAGCACAGCCATTGGCTCCTGAGGGACCAGGTGGGGTGTGAGTGCGCCGACGCCGCTGCCGAGGAGGGATTTGAGGACGTTGACCACGGGAAGGTCATGGTTGTCTGTGACCTTGAGCGCCATGCTGATGCAGTTATCAATGCAGGCAGGCAGGATCAGGTTGTCTTCATGAATAAGCACTTCCGTAGCTCTGGTGCGCAGTTGAGCGAATTGAGAAGGGTCGTTTTTCTTCATGTTGAAAGACATTGCGTGGAACTTGCCCAGTTCCTAAAAACAAATACGAGTCAAAACATATCCTCCAAAGCATTTAAAGTCTAGTTACCTACTTAGGATTAACAACGGTCTTTATTTATGGGGTATATTCATTAGCTGAAATACATTTGTAGGGGAATGGTGGGAACTGCATTTGAATTTGTAATAAATAACTAAAAAGAAGGTAATGTTTCACCTTTTCCTAAGCATAACAACCATTACACTTTAATTTTCAAATTAGAGTTAAAAATAATAACAATACCAATGTAAACAATTAACGAAGAACTATTATGTTTGTTGCAGATAACCGTTTGAAAGGTGATCATATTATTATAAATTAAGATGGACGCCTCCTAACTGAGTATTTCAACCCAAATATGAGTATAATAGAGTGAGAATGTTTGTGTGGCTTTGATACTGACTAGGACCCGCTTTTCCTTTTCCACTAGCCGGGATCATTTACTCAAAGCCCAATAAGCAGAGTCAAACCATCAAAAGGTTATTGACATTTCTGCGGGTTGATCTGGCAACCTTTTAATTGTTAGGAGAGCACTGTCCTAGCCAGTTTGTACAAAACCGATAGCTACACCATGTAACATGAAATCTATTACAAAATTTACTTTTAGCAATTTTTACCAAAAATTTAGTTAGTGAAAACACCCTACACACCTTCATGACCAGCAGGCAATGGTCCAGGTCCAGACCGGCTCTTCGATCAGCTGTTGTGAAGCCATCCTGGCGCAGATCCCTAAGAACTATGACGTCATCAGCAGCCAACAGACATTGTGGAAGAGGAATCTTCTGGTCGCCGCCCAATCGTGGAGCCACTTCGCTGTAGAATTCTGTTTCGTTCAGGAACGCAGCGTCGCAGAAGAATAACTCTCTTCTTTCCACGGACTGTGGCAGTGTCTTCATTATCAGACTGAAGGTCGTCTTATCACCACTGTCAAGGTCATGACCGATGACGTTAACCCTGGTCACGACGCTCATGAAGTTTTCGCCATCTTTGACTGCTGCGGATGACGTCATCATGTCCACTCTTATGTTTGTGGGAAGGCATTTGAGGATGGTTTCCTCTTCATAGGGTGATAGACCGCTTAGTACGGGGGCCATTTCTGGAGAAAAAAGGTTATGGTGAATATTTGTGTAACTGTAGCGGTCGTAACTATCTAGGAATACCTTTTGTAAAATCACGAATCGGAAAACCTAATTGTTTAGAACATTTCATTATTCAAGGGACAAACTTAATTGGAAAAATTTGCATCACTATGAGGCTGTTGTTTTTAGTTTTATTATTATTTTAACTCGGATTAACAAATCCCATTGACTACAAACGTTTAATTAAGGTCAATATAAATTGCAATATAAAAAAACCTGAGACAACTTATGAATTATATTTGTTTTAATTATTGTAAATTGCACAGCACAAATTCTTAAGATTTAATTCAATTAATAAAAATTTATAAGTTTGTGGCTGAAAACCATCAAAAATAATTTATTTGTCTGGTTAAATACTTCAAGAAAACTTTTACATTTCCTCAAAATTCAAATCATATAAAATAAAAATATTTATATTTGATTAATAAAGTATTTATTATCAGAATTATATCATAAAAATGAAAAAAATTGCTTGAAAAAATGTTGATTGAAAATCATATGTTTTAGTTACTGCCAAAATATATTGTCATCGAATGTAAACTTTATAATTACCTGAATATGCCAAGTAAGTATGTAAGTATGTTTGCCAATTCAGCTCTGTGCTCAGGTGAACAGCTGTAGAGGTACTGAGTTGCCGCCATAGCGCCGGTGTTTATAAACAGCTGATGCACGGCCTTCAATCAGGTCAATGGATCCCTACTTGAGATAGGTCTTACCTGTACTCCACACACACTCATTCACACACACTCTCACTACAACACTCTACTACGAGGGCGATGAACTCTGTTGTAGTTGTGTAGTGTCTGGTTCGTTGACTTGTGTTATAATGAGTGGTGACCCTTCTTGGGTTAAATATCACGTCATTTGATTGGGACTTTCGTGAATTTCAACTGCCAGGTTGTACACCACTTTCTAGACACTGCACCCGTATTATATGGCGTACTATTTTAGAATGTTTTAAATTATTATTATTTTTATATATGAGAGCAAGTTGGTCTAGTGGTTGAGTCCAGAAGAAGGTCCCGAGATCAAATCCTACCAAATCACCAATGGATTTTATCCAAGAGATAATGCTGCAACGCCTGCAACCCCTACGTCTAGCCTGAAGTAATGTGGAAAACGATTCTGGGCCAGTCATGCAAATATTATTTAATTTAAAATTCTTGGTTGAACGAATTAATTAGTTATTACTGGTTAGTAATCAACTTTCAAGATGATATTTTCCTTCTTTAATTTGGGTAATTATTTTATTTCATCCCCCAAAATGTATTCGTCAATCTGTATTTTCTCTGTTCGTTGACCTTAACTTTAACTTAAAACATTTATGCTATTTAGATTGTTTGCGTTTTGTTCAATAAATTCTAAAACATAAAGCTCAATAAAAATATTTTTTTTTATTAAAAAAACTATAAACTAAGACACACCTTTACAGTTAAAACTATTTCATAATATTCTTTAAATTAGCTAGTACCATTATTGATGGTTTGACGTTAAGCATATGTAAACCTAAATTAAAATTATATATCAATAAACAAAGTTTATAAAAAGCCAGATTAACCTATATGATTTATTTCTGTGTGACTTTTGGCAATATTATAAAAAAAAATCACCAATATTTCTTTAGCTCAGAATTCTTAAACCCGAATTTATCAAAATAGCACTTTTCCACACACTACAAAAAAAAATATATGGATATTTTAATATATGTTATTCATAATGTTAAATCCAATAGATTTTGGTGACGATGGTTTCTAAACCCATATTCTTTGCGAGCTATAAAAAATTTAAATTAAAACATTTCAATAACATTGTCAAATAAAACATAAAATTTGTTTATTTAACACTTGTCAAACTATGGTCCTATTACATAAAAAGGGTCATTTTTCAGTTAAAAGTAAGAGTAATAGTTGTGACGATATTTTGAAAAGAGATTTTTTTAAAATTTAATTTTAGCAATATTATTGTTTGGTTTATAACAAACATACCGTATTTGAAATAACACATAAAAGCTACAGCGATAATTCTAATCCCCATTCCTCCTCTGTCATTTTATCTGCAACTTTTCACAGCATAAAATTAATATTTATTTTGTAAACATTGCGACCTAGCATTTTATTTTGTTTACTTTATTGTGCAATTAAGTAAACAAAAAAATACTATAAGCAACAATCAAAACAATCTTTTTGCTTATATTTTTAAAACTGTAATACCATTAACAATTAGATTAAATGAAACATTGTAAATATACGTACTAACTTAGGTGACGAATAAGAAGTTCATGAATTCATATTAGTATTATCATACTCTTAGTGTCAGTATTTGTTATTAACATCACAACAGACAAAAACATTGATGGATTGATATACTTAAGCACACTTTTGCCAATTTTCAAATAAGGAAAGTCTCTAAGGCTAAGCCTCAAGTAAGTTCCTACGAGGCCATGTGCCCAAGGCTGTCCAGCTGTAAGTTCAACACCCTGTCTGAAAGTCAAGGCGAGCATTTATAAGAGAAAAAGTTGATTTCTCAAAGGCTATTGACATGAAATGCATAGCTTTTAGTTTCATTTAGTTACTATGAATAATGTCCAGAGTAAAGAAAGCTCACCAATTGTAATGATAAATGTATCACTTGAGGAACAACTATAGTTCGGCCGCTTAGAAAACGACCTGCACGCTAATGCTAAACCAATGCTGGAGGAGGTCGCTTTCTAAGCGGCCGAACTATAGTTACAACTATCATTTTTGGAACTAAATAGTGACATGCTGATTCATTTTAATCAATCTGAAAATAACACAATTTGTTTTACTTTTTGAGTGTATACAATTTTACAATGCAACTTAAATGGTGGTGTATTACAATAGTAGTATATATATCGTAAAATTTACACATTTGTAGGCTACAATTATTATGAAAAGTCTAAGATAGCTAGTATGTTTTAACATGCTACTAAAACATATGGAAAAGGAATGTTTTGTAAAAAGATATTTAATAATAACAGATTAACCGATAACAAACCGTGCAGGGATATGCAATAAATGTAAAGTTCATTGAACCATTCAGTTTGATATTGCAGTCTGTGTAGTACTGATAACAATATTCTAGAGTATTATCGTCATACCCGTGGCTTTCGAGAGGATATAAAAAGGTATCACTAATATCCTATTGCTGTCCCCAAAGAATTTTCCATTTTATGTTAAGAGTGTCCATAAATGTGAAATCGGCGTATTTTGTAGGTTTTGTGAACATGGAGGATAAATAACTATTCGTGAAATGTTAATAAGTGTGTAAATGTATTATATCATTTGAAAACAACGATATTAGTTATTTAGGATAGTTAAGATTTGTAAAATATTTCTTTATACTGACTTTAGGATCATTATTGATTAGCACAACACATAAAAAAAAGGTACAATCAAAACTTAGTTTGCCAATTCAAGTATTAAGTATTTCGAAATAATGTTTGTAACTAAAAAAATTCGGATTAATGCAATTAAACTTTTTAAATAAACAAATCCAGTCAAATGCAACATGTTGTTTTTTTAAATAACCAATTTATGGAAATGCAACTGAGTAAGTATCAGAAATAAATTGTTCGATAATAAAAGTTTTTGGTGTGTCGGAGATCGATCCTGCAAGGGATGAAATAAATATAAAATAAATAAATATAAAATAAATACATATAAAATAAATAAATATAAAATTAATAAATATAAAGTAAATAAATATAAAATAAATAAATATACTTTAAAACCAAGGAAGTGAAGTCTTGGGTTCGTGTCTTTGTGTCCATACATTTCGTTCCTTAATTTACTCAAACCAAAGATGAGTAGTTCCCTTACCAGAAATGTAGTGTACTTGAAACTTAGCGTAGGTAAATTAATAAAAACAATAAAAAAATATCACCTTTATAGTCAATTATTTTACTTTGTCGGTTTGTTTTTCTGAAAAGCTGGTGTACCAGAGAACACATTGATGAAGACATTTTTATCTATTTCTTTATTAATTGTTTACTCCCTTGTTACGGGACTTTGCAGTACAATTGAAGGTAAATTAAGGAATCTAATACCTAAAGGCATATATGCTGATTATTGTGTCATCATACTTATAAACTCATGCTTGTAACATTTGGGCAGGTATAAAAGACCCTTAAATCAGTCTGCAAATGTGTTACCTCCAAAAATTCAAGTGCAAGATGTACACAAAGCTCAATACATCCTTTTAGACCAAAGGAAAGATTTAGATTTATCCTGTGAGAATCTTTGCAACACGTGCAACGTGCATAGCTTAAAACTAGAGGAATTGTTTGAAAATAGTACTAAAAATAGTAGTAAAAACTTAGTTTATGTTCTTGTAAGAATTATTCAATTAATTTGGAAAGATACTGTAATATTCTTCATAATTTGGAAGGTAATCATATATAAATGTAATAACACGTACAATGCTGATCAAGAAGTTATCATAATAATACAAATCACGAACCATTATGTTGAGATTGATATTAAATATATCATTAACAACTATTTTTATTAATTCAAGTCAGTGTATCAGTGTTAAACTTACTAGTCTATAATAAATTGTTTACCAACACCCTAAATTGCGTTAGCTGTTTGCATCCACTAATATTTTTATACCAAATAATTAATTATATCCTATTGCTTATCGTCAAAATATCTCGTGTGCAGACTATATATGAAATATATTCACATTTTACTTATACGTTTTTCTAGTTTTACTTACAAAATTCACCCCAAATCTTAAAGCTATACCCTTGCATAATTCTCTATAAACAAAAAACAACTGCATTTAATTTTCATTTAATTTCATTACAAAGTATTTTCGATTCTTTCAACAGGATAACCACAAAACTGATCGTAACTTTGTATCACAACCCAATGTGAATTGCAGTTATGTGAGTTTACTTCGCGTCGTATACAGTTTAGCAGGGTAGAAGCTGG